ATACTTTATCTCGGTCGACTGCTCCGTCTTGTTATTTTTGTAATGCTCAAATTTCCCATCGAGAGGGCCGATGTGCGTTTATCACCTTCTATTTTGAGTTGACTGGTTCAGCTGCCCGTCACTACCAGAGATTATTCCTTGCTTTGGACAGCATGTGCAAAAGTAACCCTACTTGAACAAATATATATATATATATATATATATACACTATTTACATACATAATGTTGTCTATAAAACATACAGATGTAAATAATTGCTGTATGTGTGTTGATATTCATACAGTTATCCCCAGGTAACATTATAACTGTTAAAGTGGAACACTGAATTTATCACATATGCAAACATGTGAATATTTTCACTTCTTACCTTCATGGCCATAAACCAGCAGCAGATGGGAAAACAATAGAGTCCAGAGCAGTTTAATGATAAACACATTATTCGTGGTCATCCTTTCTCTGCCTCAACAAAACATCATAGCCCTTTCTGAGCATGGCTGTTAACCAGAGATTATTCCTTGCTGTGGACAGCTCGAGTACCCACTGCCAGATTATAATAAACGACACACAAGCATCGTATAAAAAGCCAACTGTGAGTGGTGAGAGTAAAGGATGCGAGAATGGGTGGGTCTGACTTCAGAAATGAGTAATGTCTCGAGCCATGTGTGGCAAAATACGATCAAAGCTTCCTTGTTTACCTTTTAATCAGGTTTTGCTTCAAGTGTCTTAAAGGTAGCCCTGTGATCTAGAGCAGGAAAAGATAAAATATAAAAAGTGACACTGAATATAGTTATCTCAACATACTCAACATATCGCAAAATTAACCCTCCTCCATCATCCGTGGTGGGACACAGGTGGTGCACTTGTTCCATTTTACAGGTCTTCAGTATACTCCAAATATAACCACATCTAAAAATGTAAAGGAGTGCTTGAATTGTGCGTATCCTGCAAAATTACCAGGGAAACCCCTACTGATAAAAAAGTCTTTTGGTTTGACTGTACTGGGAGGAGTTAGAGTAAGATGGTGCAGTCCATTGGCTGTTTAATAGTTTTCTACACTCAATGGTTCTGCTTTTTTTACTCAAAGTAGTTTCTGAAGTGAAGTGGAAATATGTGCGTGGCAGTCAATATGACCTATTACACAGCAGGGTAAGTTAAAAAAAACAACCACATGTGTAAACTATGATGTAAATATGATTCATCAGAAATAAACAAGCCTTTAAAATAAAATCCAAGTTGGTAAAGTAGTGATTTTGTGCATAAAACAAAACATTAGCAGGTTTTTAAGTATCTAAGATGATCTTTTTGTAGTCCATCTTGAGGATTTTGTAGTTCGGCCACACATTTACAACATCCAGCATCACATTATTAAGCAGCTCTGTCAGAGCAGTAAAAAAGACTCTTTACTTCCTCCATGATGTTTCTTTGTAAAGTCGGGGGAAATGACCCAGTGAGCTCAGAGGAGGACGATTTGTGAACTAGATTTTCTTGATTTGTTTAATGCCATGAAATTACTCCTTATGATACTTTAAGAAGGTTCAGGAAAGAAATAATTCCTAAAGGTGAAGTTAATCAAATCAGTGGTAGATCTCTCTGAATAAAACCTCTCATTTGAATTTCAAATATGGATACATACTGTACTCGCTCCTCGGCGCTCTTAGTATTTGCTTATTAGTTCAGGATTCAACATAAGCTCAGAGCAAAAAGTCAACAAGATGTAAATGAAGGAAAAAAAAGGAGAAGGAGAAGGTAAATCAACAAGTTTCATAGATCAGGGGTCAGATAGACTCCTCTTATAAGCAGGACAAACATTTATTTATGTGTTTCTAACAAGTTCTTTCATTATATTTAATAAACTCTCAGTGCTTTATCACAGGAGGAGTGTCTGAATAGTTCTCTTTACTTAGAATGAAAAGCTTGCCCTAATTTAGTCATCCTAAATAAGCTGATGTGTGAAGACAGTAAACTCGTCTTCACACATCAGCCCTTCATTAAAAACATCTTGTGACTGAAGGTTTTTTGTTGTTGTTTTGCTTAAGTCTGGATCAGCTTACAGAAGAGGAGGCAGTGTAACAAAGAGTATTAGGGCATGATATGAGGCAACATGATAAAAAGTACACTCATCACCAAACTGTGCTTGTGTGCTAAAAAGAAATAATTTATTTGTTACTAAAACTCATTCTGAAGTAATTTTCAGTAACTCTTCGACACAAGCATTTTGTAGAGGGTGTAGCAGCTGTGACAGTTTTTCTTGGTTTTGTCTTTATTCTCAAAACAGTATTTTGAGGTTAATCTCAAACTTTCAACTAAACAAAAAAAAATTTTCTTATTGTGGCTCTTATTAACACTCCATTAGGAAAAACAGCTGAACTGAAGTGAAAAAAGCAGATATGATTCAACTTGAGTTTTTACGTGTCTCTTCTGATTGAAATCCTGTTGAGTCAGTGCAAACAAACACACAACAAACCCTCTTGGTTTTTTCTTCAGGCAACAGCAAGTGGAGAACACAGACACTATAGTAATAGTGAAAGTCTAATGTGTTTCGTTGAACTACACTTTCCTGTCCAATCAACAGAGAGTAGAGAACTTCTCAAGTTTAACATTTTTATTGCCATGCACAGATAAACAGTATAGCCACATTTACCTGTAATGAAATTCTTTTTCTCGTGCTCATCAGCTTTACATGAAAATATATATAAGTGTGCAGTTGTATTAAAGAAGAAAATAACCATAATAATAATAAAAATAAAAATAACTTACAAAACTGTGATGGACTGAGTTGAAAAAGTAGGAGTCACAGGAATTATTGGAAAAATAGAGTTGCCATTTATTTAACCCAAAAATTATACTTACAAAAGTAATAAATTTGAGCTCATAAAAGAGGTCAAAGAAACAAAGCAGAACTCCAAAACCAAATGACTGCCCTAACAAACATAAATGATCTAAACATGAACTGACACACAAGGGTATATATCAGGGGTCCCCAAACCCAGGCCTCGCAGGCCAGTGTCCTGCAGGTTTTAGATGTGTCCTTGATCCATCACAGCTGATTTAAATGGCTAAATTAACTCCTCAACATGTCATGAAGTTCTCCAGAGGCCTGGTAATGAACTAATCATTTGATTCAGGTGTGTTGACCCAGGGTGAGATCTAAAACCTGCAGGACACCGGCTCTCGAGGCCTGGAGTTGGGGATCCCTGGTATATATAATGGCTCATCAGACCACTATAACACAGGAGGGATAACTAAACAAAACACAATTGTAAACAAACAATACAAACACTACAATCTGGTTTATTAATAAACTAAACATCAAAGAAGAAAATTAAAACTACTAAACTCCAAACTCAATATTTAATTAAATACAAATACTTTGTTTTTAATGAAAGAAAACACGCATTCTACATTTCAGCAGGAAATGGTGGTGCGGTCCAATTATCCCTCTTTGCATTTAATGGTTTCAAACTCTGGCCACCACCTTTTGTCTGGCAACTCGTTATATCATGGCAGATAAGTAGTAAAAGAAACAAAGATTAGTCAAAAACCAAAGTAATGAACTGGTATGAATACATAAGTAAACTAAATGTGCACGCTTACAAATAGAACAAATGTATCCAAACCAATCAATAAACTTATTGGAAACTAAAGTGTGTTATTGACAACACAATAACTTATTGTGTTCTAACAAAGGATTGAAAATACAAGAGTTACCGACTTTAGAGTGTGGCTACTATGGGTTTGGCCATCACAAAAACACAAAAGTATTAATATTAAGAGAATTTGAGACAATTGTTTGGTATTCACAGTTTCGTATTTACAGTTGTGCAAAAACAAACTTGTGCAGTGAGAATTTAAAGTGGTTTAAAGTGACAGTGTGTAGAGTCCAGTAGTTGCAGTGAGTGTGTAATGGTGTGTATAGAATGTCAGCAGTTCAAAAGTCTGATGGCTTGTGGGTAAAAACTGTCTCTGTGTCTGGTAGTGTGGGCCTGAATGCTTCTGTATCGCCTTCTGGACGGCAGGAGTGTAAAAAGTCTGTGGCTGGGATCAAAGAGGATCTGCTGCGTCTTCCTCATGCAGCGCTGTCTGTAGAGATCCTGCATGGCTGGCAGTTCAGTCCTGGTGATGCGCTGTGCTGATCTCACCACCCTCTGCAGAGCTTTGCGATCCAGAGCATTACAGCTGCCGTAGCAGGTGGTGATGCAGCCAGTCAGAATACTTTCAATACTTTCTCTGTAGAAGTTTGTAAGTATTCTGGGGTTCATGCCGAATCTTCTCAGGCGCCGTAGGCAGAAGAGCTGCTGTCTTGCTGCTTTTGTGATCACACCAACATGGTGTGACCAGCTCAGATCCTCGCTGATGTTGATGCCCAGGAATCTGAAGCAGCTGAGTCTCTCCACCTCTGCTCCTTCAATGTGGATGGAGGTGTGGCCTCCTCTCTGCAGTCTCCTGTAATCCACGATGAGCTCCTTGGTTTTGCTGATGTTAAGCAGCAAGTTGATGTCGGGGCTCTCACCTCTGCACTGTATGCGGCCTCATCTCCATCAGAAATGCAGCCGATGATGGTGGTGTCATCTGCAAATTTCATGATGTCTTTCTCTTTTATGTAGTAAAAATTAGGTTGTTTCATTTTCACTGCAGTGTTGGGACACTCATATTAATCGATCTGTCAGTGAACACTTTGAGTAATGTAACTGCTGACAGCAAAGGGCAATGCTCTCAGAGTCCAAATGGTGGACTGTGGCTGTCTACCTTTGTGTTACCAAAGTGTTTTGTTTTGTTTTTCAATATTTCATTTTGCCAATTTTTTCAAAAAGTGTTACAAAATGTGACAAAACTTGAGTTTTCTTTGGTTGTTAATTTTATTTGTCTTTTGAATGTGTACCACTGCCACCATCTTTGTTAAACTGGTCTGGTCTGAAATTATGAAAATAAAGATTATTCAGGTTTTTAAAAATATAACTCTCTGCTTCTTAATTCAGACAAAACTGAGGTTATTGTACTCAGTAGGGGTTCAACGATACACAAAATTATATTCTCGAGATATTCTCGGTTGGATCAACATTACAAGGTAACCTGTGTGAGTGTGTGGTAAGATCCCTCTGTAATTTTCAGAATATTCTAAATGAAATGTTATAATAATGTAACACTCGTGTATCCTGTGTTCACACATGCTCAGAGTCACAGTGACCTCTGCCTATACACATTTTTTGTTAAAGGTAAAAGATGAAAATATTATTTAAAATAGAAAATGACTCTCTCACTAAAATCTCTTTTTTATGATGACATCACATCCCACAGCTGCTTGTGATGCTAGCACTGACCTGCTGTTACAAGCATATAACAAACATTACAGACATGTAAAAACACAGAAAATATGTGAACCTGAAAAGTGATCTGAGATTTTATGTGTTAATCTACAATCTTTGACCCGCTTACTCAAATTTGAACCCTGCTAGCTTCATTTTTATTAAAATCAACAGAAATCGTTTTCTTTGTAACAGTTTAAATTAATATGTAAAAGTGTATCTGAGCAGAGACCTGGACATAAACTTCTTCATGGTTTATAATTTAATACCTAACAGAAAGGTATGAAGGGCCCATTTGTTAAGGTTGTGCAGTTCTGAAAGCACATGGATCAAGTCCACATTCAGCGGGCTGAAGTATGATGTAACAGCGGTGCATTGATCATGATTAATCAGAGGATGATCACTGCAGCTCCAGGCGCAGCTCGCACAGAGCAGACAGGTACTCTTCATTGTCCTTGTCACAGTTCAGAGCTTCCTCATAAAACTCAGCAGCTTTCTTCCTGTTGCCCTGAGCTCTGGCCACCTGACCCAGCAGAGCGAGAGCCTCGCCATCACCCGGATTCCTTGACAGACGTCTCTCAGCGATCTTCTTGAGTTTCTGCAGGAAAGATGGAGGAACAAAGAAAGATGAATTTCTGTGGATTTAAAGTAACTGACTTTTATTTTCAGTGACTTTCTCAGACCAGGATTAAAAAAATATTTAATGTCTAACTGAAGACATATGAGTACAGCAGCTCCCAGCCTTAAACCACAGAACAGGACTGATTCAAGCTGGTTGGCAGGTGAGAGAAAGGACAGCTGTGGAAACGATCCAGACCCCACTCCCTCAGTACTGTGTTGAGACGATGTGTGGAAACAGTGTACACTGAGTGTGCTTTATCAGATTACAGCCAGGGTCTGTATGAAGGTGCAGGAGAGCCGGTTCAGCAGGTGGGAGGTTTCTCCAAATACGCGCAAATAGCCGGACCTTGTTTGTGTTAGTGAATTTTGGCCCTACACAGAGATAAGGGAGTAATCCTTTGATGGACAAATCACATATCACATACAAAGTTTTCTGCAAAGGAAGGAGTCTAAAATCATCGTCCACCACTGAAAGCTTCCACCTGACAGATTAGCCTCCCTCTGACTTCACGTCCTGCTAATGAAAATGGTCCAGAGGTGCAGCAGACTGGAGACTTGGTCTCAGTAAATTTTGACCATAAGCCACTGATTCGACTTTAATCACATAACCTTTAGCGCTCACCTTAGCACAGACTTTCTTCTCATATTTCTTCAGTGGTATCAGGAGACCCTGCAGACAGGACACAAGAGGAGGCAGATTAATAACACAGATATAACTGATTGGTCATTAATAACATTCAAGTGTGAGGCTGTATGTTCTGATTGTTTACTGCCATGTGGCCCTCTGGATTTGGGCTCATTTAGCCTGAATTCCTATTTTAGAGCAGGGGTGTCAAACTTTAATCGTAAGTGGGCCGGATCAGTGAAACATATTTCACTGTTTTCCTACATTATGAAAGAAAGGGACCTGTGACAAAGAGGCAAATCTGTAATAGGAGCGTTTCATTGTTTATTACCTAATTGCTTTGTGTGAATAGCCATAAGGGAGGTTTTTATCAGTAGTAAAAACTGTAACATTGAAAACACAGTTAAAAGTCCAGAATTTCTGCTTGTGCTTGTTTGTGGTGATCGGCAGATCAAACAAGTTAAGAATTATAAATGGCGTCAAGCGCACATTCAGGCCCGTGAGACTCATTTAGGCAACGTCCACACTGGCCCGGATAGATTTGAAAATGGTGTTTTCTTCTGAAAAAACTCTGCGTCCACACTATCGTTTTCAGTCATTTTCACAGGGTTGCGCGTCCACAATGAAATGGCCAAAAACACTTATGTTCCTGTACTGTACATGCGTGAAACACAAGACGAATCGACCTGCCTCATTTCTGTCTGCTGTTTATTTACATTCCAGCTCTTTGAAACATCGTGCAAAATGTTGAGGCAAAGCACAAAGTCTTTTAAATGGACTAACAATGAGGTGGAGTTGTTGCTGCGAGAAACACAAAAGCCCAAACTTGCAAAAGCGAGTGAGAATTAAAGATTTTGAAGAAAAGCTATCAGG